TATTCCTTGGCAAATCCTACAACTTGATCAAAGGGAGCATCTCTTCTCTCAAATTAGCTAAGATTCTAGAACAGGTTCGATGGTGGTGACAGTTAACACAGATTAACCCAAATGGATAAAAAATATCAAGTTTTATAACTGTCATTTACGTTGCAGGCAAGAGATATTACAAGCAATTAAATAATCATGATTTGAATTTAAAGTAAAACGTAAGAATTTAAATTAACTCTAAGATTTTATCTAGTATTAAAACTTGTTCAACAAGATGAAAAACTGTTACTCTTGACGAAAGGGCTTTTTTCTTTCAGCCCACAAAACGTAGTCCTGCTTAGTTTTATTCTACAATATTAAATTCAACCGTATTAACAAAGAAAGGAAAGCGTACAGTGTTTCTGACACATATATATATAGCGATTTTCTAAACGCTGCTTAGATGTGGCACAAGGCCGGAAGCATGGAGCACCCAGTGAGGAGTGAACTCACTACTCAGTCGTAATATGTTCCTAGCGAGACAAGCTTGCTAACCATTACACCACGCCGAGGTGCGTATATATATATATATATATATATATATATATATATATATATATATATATATATATATATATATATATATATATATATATATATATATATATATATATATATATATATAGACCTTGTTAATCGAGGTGCATATATATATATATGGATCTTATTAACATTTACTGAAAAGTGGATTTGAAAACTTTTGATTAGGCCTAATATCACAAAGGAGTTTTGTTGGGATTGTATAAATGATAAAATAAAAAATGAAAAACAAAACGCAATAAGATAAAAGAAATACAAAAAAAATAATAAAAGAAAAATCTCCCAGGATGCTCCCTGACAGGAAGAACAAATGGCGCATGCGCGAATAAAGAAGGTATTCCTGGCGCTAAAGATAAACGAGAAGAATCGTTCTCTTTTTTTCCCTGAACTTTCAATGGGTAAACTCGTGTCTTTTGCTCAGGGAGTCATTTCTTTTAAACACACCTTTGTTACTGTAATAAAGTTCCCAAATCCATTTCCCGTCTCTCTGCCTCCTTCTTGCCTTTGTACCATTTATTTCAGCAACAAGAAGAATTCAACGCGGATTTAGAGTTTGAACAGAATCACCCAAAGAATTATACCTTTTAAAACTCCTAAGTTTTAAAGAAAATGAAGAGAAAATTTAAACTTATGGAATGGGCATTATTTATTTTTATTGGATAATACATGGATAGGATCATTTACTGCCTTAGAATGGGCGAAAATTCACTCAATACCTTAGATGTCAAAATCCTACTTTAAAATTATTTTATTTGTTGTTGGCAACATTTAGATGTGCAAGTGGTGCAACTGTTATCAGCGCAAAAAGTGGAATCAGTGAGTCGAATGTTCAGGCTCAGGTAAAAGCTGGGATTTCGAATCTTGATTTTCACAGCAAGTATGCCCTCTGCACATGTCTTGACAGCTCCGTGACCCTATTTCTCCCTATTTGTTTTTTTTTTTATCTTTGCATAAAAAATCATTGCTCGTATCATTAACATCTAATTGTCACTTAACTTTATTTTTTGTCGTTATTATTGATTTCTATTAACATTAAGTTAACCGTTATTAATTTTTGACTAATATTACTTTCTCTATAATTTTGAAACGGGCCATTACTATATTTATTCGGATGTTCAAATAGAAAACAAGCTCTTCACGAAGCGCACACTTTTAGCTTGGAATGTTATTGGAATAGGTGGACTTAGCAATTAAATTACAATATATACGCCTAGCAACTCAAATCTGACTATATTAATGTATTCTATATTTTCTCTCGATCTCTCAACGCCACCATATTTGATATTATTGTTTTGTTTATATAAGTTGTATTAGTAGTAATGTTTTTGGTAATGGCTGAAAATTATTCTACTAATAAAAATCGAAGATAATATTAAGGTTTAGTTGTTTAATAAATATTTTTGATAAATGATTTTACCTTAAATCTGAACATAAAACAAAATAGTGTACACTAGACCTTTGCAACTGGGGCCCACCATGCAGCATACACGAGGATGACTCAACCCCATTCCCTTCGGATTCCATTAGTAAAAAATAAGATCCATTCGTACAGATTCTTCTCAAAAAGTGTTGTTTTGTGGGACAGACACCCGGCAAGATGTTTTCCCAATAACTACAATCTTGACCTCTTGAAATCTAGGTTTAACCGTTATATTTCCTGCGTGACCCCATGGACTTCGATTCCTGTCTTTTCTTACGTTTATACAAACCACGAAGTATCCCTAAAGGTTGAGTGGCTTTTGGGCCTTTGTTTTGGGTGAACATTAGTATAAAGATGGTTGGCTGAAACATATTATATGATCATGTCTCTGACTTTTCCGCAAAACTGTATTTCGCACTCTATGAGGTTCCATAACAGTTCCCAATGTATATTCTACTTATCTTTGTGCTCGAATCTGGCTTGCATTGCGCACAACGTTTGAACAACATCTGAAAAAATAATAGTGAAGCAGGCAATAATAAATCTACCTTATTACAATGGAATTTCCGCTTACGAAGGCTGACATATGGTACACAGAAGCACTTGTTAAAGCTGAAATTATCACTTCTCCAAGAACCATTGAGTGTTGCCACAGGTAAATGTAATATGACAGAGACAGTGCAGTCAGTGAAGTAAAAGTCCTTGAGGCATGTCCTGTCGTCGGTAGTACAAACAATATAATTTATGCGACATGCAACAAATTTGGTAAATCTCATTTTTTAGACGTATCAAAAACATTAACATGGTCGCTTCCATTCCGAGATTAAATGAAAATATACAGTGTTCGTTCGCCTTAATCTCGTCCACAATGCTTCCACAATGGTTTTTAGCCTCGGGAAAAGCCAGAACTTCCATAGAGCTAAATCTGGACATCTAGATGATGCGATATTTTGGGTACCAAAAGAAAAGAGAAACCACCCAAGACGAAGAATCTACTCGCTTAATCATTTTAAATGCTATAGTCACACAGTACACAAGCTCACACAAAGTCTTACTGTCGGCTAAATAACCGAACTAGGGAGTATGTCTGCATATGTGAATAAAGGTTCCTTCTTATTGGCTATCAAGCTTCATCAGCTCTTTGATATGTGGCTCATTTTAGATTATGCAGAATAGACTATGCACACTGTGTCCTTCAGAAACACCAGGTTCACGCTTGACATGAGATAACCTCCAAGACTAGAGTAGCGATCCGCGATTCACCTGATCAATAATGACTTCGATAAGTGAACACGCACTAGGGATGCACGTTTAAGATGACAGAGATATATAAGCATTAATCCTAGTGGCAATAAGAAGCAATCTCTGAGACATGGCAGAGACAAGTTTTAGATGAGGTGCCTGCAATCGCTTTCATGCAGTGGCTGACATTAATTAATGTTGTAACCTAGGGAAGGTTACTGAATAGAATAATCAAACGAAGGTTGGTAATGAACGATAATACTTAGGACAAGAACAACACATATAAGATTTGCCAGCGGCGCATAGAAGTAGTAGTAAAGTGAATTCCACAATGAATCTCCAACTGCAGGATATCTACCAACCGCCCCACGCGATCAGATGTGGCACGAGGTCGAATTTAATGTAAGGTATCCGAGCCCGTAGGCTCGACCAAAAATTCCTCGTAGGCTCAGTATAAAACGGGGTCGGGTAGCTGTTTCCCGAAACGAGATTCTGCCCTTCGACATAGCCTCGTCTGGGGATCCCCTCTCCCCGGAGGCAGAGAGTTTGATCAGCACAGCTGGAGACGAATCTCCAACTGCAAAATATCTACCAACCGTCACACGTGACACAAGGCCAAATTTAATGTGGGTTATCCGAGCCCGTAGGCTCGGCCAAAAATTCTCTATAGACCCCGTATAAAATGGGGTTGGGTAGCTATTTCCCGAGACGAGAGACTGCCCTTCGACTGGGGATCTTCTCTGCCCGAAAGCAGAGAGTTTGACCAGCACGGCTGGGGACGAATCTCTAACTGCAGTCCAACATACAGTATTTACTACTGCATTTATGTGAATAGGGACATACCTATTATCGTCCGTAGGTATGCTACAACAATTAAAGAAGTACAGAAATGAATAAAATGCCATGTGAAATATGAGAGATTCAGCCTCGTGTATGCATTAGTGAGCACAAACACTTCGTTACAAATTATATGAGGTATCTTCTCAAGATATTCAAGCAGAGTTGTACAAGGTTGGTGCTGAAAACTTCTTGACTGCACACTCTTCCAAAAATCAGTATTTCCACAACCAAACTTCAGAATACTGATTGTGGGAAGTGGGTCGAACGGATAACTTTTTACTACCCTTCGTACATATAGAAAGTACCTCAAGAGTAACACGTATTCAATTGAAATAAGACCTGATATAAGTATTTCTAAAATAGCTATACTATCGCTTACTGCTAAAGATAAATATTTGATATCTTGCTCGTTTCTCCAAATTTAGATCGATCGATAAACGATTAATCTAATATAGACAAAGTGGGATCTATGGAAAATGTACCTTAGTATTTCTAATTTACTTCGCGAAGAGAAAGCTTTTCTGCAAAAAATATAAAAACTTAAGCATCTGTTTTGTTTATTCTCACTTATTTTAAAATCTCTGATATAAATACAATATTTTTAAAAGATTCAACTATGTCAAAAATATAAAAAATAATGAGATCCAGTGGATAGTTGGATGTTTTTGTTTAAGCGGTATATCAACACCTCCATGGGTTATTTAATGCCGAAATCTATTTTGTACGCAATTTTATTTTATTAGATAATAATGGTTTTAGTGATACAAGTCTAATTAATTAACCCGTATCTGGGGAAGAAAAGTGGATATGTACCTTTCCCAAGGGTATTTGCGTGTAAATGAATATAACGAACCCAACTAAAATTGGAACTCGGCTCTCCAATTAACAATTCCGAGTCATTATCCATTACACCACCCGCACAACCATGCTTACAGCACCTGGTATTCCCAAACGGTCTCACATCTACTTACTGACCAGGCTCGACGTTGATTAACTTTGGTCATTTGACGAGAACTGGTGTTTCAACGTGATATGTCTGTAAGCCAGTGAGATTGAACTTTATATCACACACTTATACAGGTAATTAAGGTGGTATCTGACAAATTCCTATAATAGACCTAAAAGAAAATACGTATAAAATATATTATTCAAATTTAACTACTATCACTTTGGAAATAGTTACCCTTGGTAACATACCAATGCCTCTTCTACATTTTTGGCGTTTAGGAAGTAATTTGACGCCCTGAACACTCAAAATTGAATCAATATTCAACTTGTCTTAAAATGCGCGTGTCAAAAAAAAAATCTGTGTTCGACCTAACGGATGTTTGCCAAATGCCTGACGAAGCATTTCGAGGTCCTCCTTAGCTTATTTGCAAAGTTTCGCTCAAATTTCATGCAGGTATGTTGCTCAAAATTTTCAGCCACCGTAAATATTGTAGAATCATTCCAACAAAAGTTACAAATATAAGTTTTGCTGGAACGGTTCTGCGATCTTTACGGTGACAGACAATGAGCAGCATAATTCATCTTTCATCGCTCTTCCGTCTGTGGCAGAATGATTTGTTTCTCACTATTTATAATAATCTTGAGCAAGCTTATTTAGCGACTATCACTCATGGTCGGTGACTACGGAATTAAGTTATCCGTTAAGCCGTACGCTCAATACACCATTTATAGAGCTCTTAATGTGTCCAAATAGTTTCAAAATTTTCCTACGGATGCTATCAAAAAATGGAGGCAAATTAGTTACACTTCAATGAACGGGTATTTTCGCTTCGTCTATCATCTTATTCAAGATATACTTTTTGTAGACCTTGAGCTAAGCTTTTAAGTGTTCATCTCACATAATTTATCTATGAGTCACAAGTGACCCACCCTTTGGCATATATCAGTCAGTGAAATACTTGTATGCTGACGGTGTAAATAATTCACATGTACTGAATATGATCAAATAAAATTAAGAAACCTGTCACGTTTACCGGCACTCTTGTTTTGTTAGCCCGTATTTTCTGAGATAATATTTCTTATCTCAGTAACCTGAAAACACATTATTAAGCCAATGCTCACAGTATTTTTCTACAATGAATACGAATATTCTCATCGCCAAAAAGAATTTATACCACAAAAACGATCACTTACTGTATATTAGGTATTTTGGGAAAAAGTAATTTTGACACAATTATGCTGCACACTGGATGATTCAGAAATATGGACTTACATAAAAACAATTTTGTTTAATGAATTTATCTGTAAATCGATAAGTTTGTAATGATAAAAAAATTATTCATTTTACACAAAAGATATTTATTTTTAAGATGCATAATTCAGTGACCCGAGCCTTTTCATTTTCGTATTAATACCCTTGGGAAGGCATAACTTCATCTGTCCTCCTCTTCCTGCTATGGGTTAAATAGCAGGGTAGACTAGACTCTCTAGTCTTAGGTGACAGCCAGTATAAGAGAAAAAAACTTCTGAATTTGAAACTGCAGATAAAGCATCGGAAAAACACTCCAGTATCTTTCCCAACAAAGTATCGCAATTCACCGATAATAAAGAAAAAGGAAGCTGTGGAAAGCCATAATCGCCGACATCTTGACAGAACAGGACATACATGATTAAGCAGACATATTGGGCGATAACTTTAGCATTCTGATATGCCGTCTCTCTTATTAAAAGCTACTATGCTTCTTTAAAACTAGACGTTATGTCATCAGTTTCGTTTATCGAATATGTCTATATATGACGAAGTCTATTGGCAGACTGACCCAATAGGATATTTACAAAGAGGAGGTAACAAAACGTCTTCGATTAAGTACAAAAGGTTTTGTTTTTTGTTTGTTTTGTTTTTTTTATTCTCCGCATAAACTTTGTTGAACGCCATATTTACCGTTTTATTTTTTCACTGTTGTCTGACATAATTGTAAATGCTATACAACTGGAATATATGGCAATCCGAAGCTGTTAAACATGATCGAAGAGTAAAACCTTTCCAGCCAAGATGTAATAGTTTTTACATACGCAGCAAAAAAATATAGTCTACTGCGTTATCTTGATGGAATTTTTCTTTTAATTAATTCCAGATCCTTTTTTCTTTTTTGTCAGTTCCTTGTCGTTTCCTTTCCAATTCTACCGTATATACAGCATCGTCATATTTGGATGCATCCAAGTACGACAAAACCAGCCTTTAGTACAATTGGTAGTGATTCATTTTGATTGCCTCAAAATTTCTTGTGCTCCACATTGTTGTATTTTATCCCCTTTTCATCGCCTGTCAAAATTTGTTTGACAAATATAACATTTAAACACGGCCCAATCAGTTTTTGCCTATGTTGATGCTACTAACATAACATATATAACACTGATTATTTTCTTCTTATGTCTTCTTATGATTGCTATCAATATTAACATGACTACCATGGAGTATCGTTCATTGAGAAATTGCCACTTTTGAACTTTCGATCATTCATAACTTATTCTGCAGAAATAGCAGAAATCTTAGCTACGTTTTTGTTTTAGCGTTTCTTAAAATAAAAGAGCAAATGTCGAAACGGTTGTTAATTTTCTTCCATCTGCATTGTTAGACTTAATAAGCAAATATACGCCATTTTTAACAATATTTTAAGCGCACGCTAATCTGACAACGGTCACAAATCACTCAAAAGCTACCTTTGCAAATGAAATTAATTAAATAGTATGCCATCTAATGACAAACAAAAGACGATCTTTTCAAACAAAAAAAGCTTCTTTTTGAGATTCAAAAAAGAGTACACTTACCATCCAAATCGCTGTGTTTTTCAATGAGATTTCATTCAGTTTTCCCATAATGTAATTCTTTATGCAGTATCCACACTGCAGTGGTGGGTCCCAGAATATGATGTAAGGTGACAAACGAAAGTCAACAGGTCCATAAACAGATTCAAACAATGCCACCTCTTCGCCATTATTGTCCATACCGGTCATCAAAATTCTGTGAAAATAATTAAACATTTTAATAGTTAAAGACTGATATTTTTAAGATAATTGTCTTTTTTTTACCCTTTTTATGCTAAGTCCTTTTTCATATATATATATATATATATATATATATATATATATATATATATATATATATATATATATATATATATTTTAAGTTGTCCTATATTTATGGGATAAAGTGCTCAATATCAGAGATAGAGCGTATTTAAATATAAGTGAACATTGAAGTCAACACTCAGAGGCGACAGGCTGTTTCATGCTAGACGCAATCGTCAGTGACCACGTCCTTATATATATATAAGGACGTGGTGTGACGATACGTCTAAGATGAAATATAAAAAATCGGGATTATATTCAGATTCTGTATATATATATATATATATATATATATATATATATATATATATATACAGAATCTGAATATAATTCCGATTTTTTAAATGCTACCTTAATTAAAAGAGAAATCACTAAGATGAAATTCTGTAGAAAGTGCTTTAGGCGGGTTTCAGTCGGTTTCAACCAGAAGGGAATTCCCCAAACGGGTTTCGTCTTACTTTTTCACAAATTTCTCATTGACTGTAATCTTCATCATAATAAATACCTTATCTTTTATTGATTTGTTTGTTTATTTACTTACAATACACTAGTATTCTATTGAAATTTTCGTTTATTGAAGTATGGTTCAGCTTATTTATTTAATAATTAGTTATAAATTAAAACAAATTATTGTACATGTATTCCAGTTTGAAAATCCCTCAACATTTTCTATTAATATTAAATTTGTAAAACTCCTAATATGGAAACGAATAAGGATTTTCAATAATATAGACATACTATTTTCAGTCAGAAAATCTTGGAAAGGGTGGAGAATTACATTCTGACGTATGGTGGAAAGGGTGCATTGGGCAAAAAAGGTTGATAACCACTGTACTAGATCATCTACAGTAAATGTGCGTCCGGTTTCTGACAACATTCCACCATTCTTGGCACATCTTCTATCATCACAATGTAGGATACTCAATAACAAAAGTGATAAAAGACAAAAGAAACTAAATTAAATTAGCTAGACTATATTCAAACACATTAAAAAAAAAAGGAATTAAAATTTTTAAGATTTCAGCGTTTCCTCTCCTTCGTGGTCAACGTAAAAATCACTTTAGTCCGATGAAGTCCTAAAGGAATGAAACGCGACACACAAAAAATTTTCCGCATTTTTTTTCAAGATTTTGTCAAAAAATATTCAACTCAAAATATACAGAATTTTATTCAAAATGTATCAAAGAACTACCTTGTAAATGACAACAGCTCGTTGTAAATAATTTTGAATATAAAGGGTGTTCCAATAAATTGGACCGATTTTAAATGTGAATTAATTTTAAGGGTCTAATAATTTTCTTTTTCTTTCAGATCTGGCGGACATTTGGGCGATATTATATTTCACACATTATTGCCATGACTTAAATTATATGATCTAATTGAGAAATAAGTAAATTTTTACCAATAACACTGATTTATTTACTGCTGATTTTGACCCGCCTTAATGAAACAATCTTATATATAATCCGTCTTAATGAAACACCATTTATAATTGAATAAATATAATTGTACTTTTTCTTTTTTACTCTGTCTGTAATAATTTCTTAATATGTTTAAATATATGTATATATTAAAACTATTTTCATTTATCATGTTTTCATTTATAGCAAGCAAGAACACTTGAATATGGCATAATTGTTAGCAAGGTTGTCTCACCTTATCAATTACTGAAAAGTGAATTCGATCCTCACTAGGTACTGCATACTTTCGGTCTTGTGCCACGTCTAAGTTTTGCTTAGTAAATTAATTCTTTTATTCTTCCCTGACTCTTCCTGGGAAAGCTGAAAATTCATATTAGCTCACGACCCATGGGCCACCCCAAAACCAGGCAATAACTCTCCTTACCCGGCGAGTAAGTACCATGGGGGCTTCAGCAATTTTTCCACTGTATTGCCGATAAACTCACATTAAACCTTGACCATCTGTTACATTCGGTATCGACGTGGACGCTCTGAAATATCCCTTCATTTATAGCAAGAGACAAGTGTGGGGAACAATTGTTATCTTGACTAAATTTTATCATTAGTTTAAGATTCAAAAACTATTGGTCATAAGAAAATGTAAAACACTTCAAGTTTTTGATGTTTTATAAGTAGAAAGTAATTGAACAGAATACTTCAATATGGCCGCTATTTTTTATGGTATTTGTAAAGTTGTAAATAAATAAAACTCACCAATTTGATATCTTTTGGAGAGCTCTGGAAAATCTGTTGTGCTAATCGAATTTTTTAGACCTAAAATCATCAGCCACAGTTAATTCGATCTTAATGCATGATCCTTATTTACTTAAGTAAATATATGGATTGTAAATAATTATTACATATTATTATATCATATTTCCAACACTTGTGTAGATAGATGAGAGAAACATCTTTTTTCTCGAAGATGCTCGATTAAAGTAATGAATTGTAATGAAAGAGAAAATATGGGCTCACCGTGTTTTGTTGTCAAATTTATTGACAACATTATGCCATAAGCGTAGAAGATAAAAATTCTCCGGGAGATTAAATGTATATTTATGGTTGAGGTATTCATAAGAATGCTGAAAGAAAAATATATATTATTACGAAATTGAAAATAATATATTTTATTACAAAATTGCACGTTTAATTCAATAAGATTTCATATTAGGAAATTGTTGTAACATAATATGGCTTATATCAAGTACATAAATGGATGCTGAAAAATTATCGACCAGAGCAAAAAGGGTTTGTCTTGTTTTTAATTTGTGACATTTAGTCAAATTTTTACTGTTCTTTTAATTTCCAATAAATACCGCATTTCCATTCAAAATTTCTACTAAAGTACTGTATTTCTAATCAGATAATACTCCGTGTTTTCTATCATGACGGTAATGGTATTGCATTGGGCTTATGTGAAATAAACTTTATTTCCAACACAATTACATACCTACATACATACCATATTAAAAGACGCTCAAACTTTGCTTTCTACCAAATAACAGACAATATTACAAACATGCTCAAAAGATTCAACAATACAGTACACGGTGTTGAAATCAAAATTTCTATTGGTTAGAAAGTAACATCACCATGAGAAATATTTGACCAATCAGAGAAAATTAAAACTCTATTTTTCTCGAGCCTACTTTCTGAAAAGTTTTCTTATACCCTCCCCTGACAAATTTCAACTTTCAGCAAGAAGACATACGGCTGTCTTCGGACCTTTCGGTCACATTAGAAGACTTGACTACATAGCTTTTTCCTCCAACTAAGCGCGTGCTTAAAGGAACATCAGTCGGTGTCTTCAAACGAACCATCTCCAATTACAAAGATGGTCAACGTATACTCACTAATGGTAAGAGTCTTTTCTCAACTACAGATTTTTACTGTGAACAAATACTAAATCTTTTCTACCCAAAGCACTAACTTAACTAAAGACTTTTTTTACTCCTTTTTAACTTTTTTGAATTTATGTACACATGTTTGTACATACAAATGATTTAGTTAACAGGCATATCCATGTTTTCTTTATTTTTCTTTCATTATTATTTAAAATTCAAACGTTTGGATTTTTAATGTAAAAACTACTGAACGACTGAATTTCCTATAGGCTTGAGGTGAACGTTGTCTAAACATTCCCGTTTTGTTTTGCTAAAAAACTCTAATTTCGTGGAGATTAAAATTTAATGCATTTTAACGTGGTGATTAAAATTTAATGCATTTTAATATTAATCTAAATTCGATTGCATTTTAGGAAATTAAACTTACAGATATTACAGATCAAATACAGAGATATTTTCCTGGCAAGTTACAAGCAATTAGGACTTGTAATAAGTGTATCGTGTTAGTGTTAAAATCCATTTTCGATAAAACTATCCTTTTAAGGATTTGACTTTTGAATATCTGCATAAAAGTAATTGTGTCTTGAGCATTTTTTTAAATATTTTGCATGAAGACTTGTACCTTAAATGTCTTATCTATGAGATAACATACTAAAACTTTAATTCTAACACAATTTTATATGAATCTTCTAGTTCCTTTGTCTTACTAATTATTTTTGGTAAATTCTTCGATACGTTTAATATGCTTTATACATTAACAAAAATATGCTATTTTCAGCTGCCCTTTATACAAATTTTGTCAATAGTTAATATATCAGTTGCTGTTGTCATAAGCTTATTTGTAAACGAACTGTGTTCTGCGACAGCACTGGGACCATGTATATAACATCTTTTTCATCAGTTACTACTACAGCATAGAGATAACGAAGACCACTTTCATTCGAAAGAACTTTTATTAACGAATGTGTGCTACAGAAACGCCTTAGCATGAGGTAATGGTTAGCGCGACAGCTTGGTTAAATATTACTATCGAGTAGAGAGTTCGATCCTCACTGGTTGCCCCATACTTGTGGTTTTGTACTAAACTAATTTAAGTTTAGTAAATGGCGATTGTGTACTACGGACAACAATTAACTGAACTTTATGGCAAACAATACATTAAAGACACGCATGGCAATTTTATTCTAAACACCAAATAATAACTGTATCTTGTCTGTTTACATTAGAATGTCACCAGTATGGATAGATGGTAGGATAATTATTTTATTGAAACTTCGGGAATAAAACAAACTGACTCAAGGATTAAAATAAATAATATATTCATATTTATTTCTTTGAGTTCTTTTCTATTTGGTGTTCGAGAATAAAGCAATATATTGGTAGCAATCTGGAGAAATGTCCGTTTCGGTAGTTTGAAGTCAGACTATGATAGGGATAGTAGTAATCACAGAAATTAGGTCAATGTCAATCTACTTCGTTTTCTCGTCGGAAATATCAGTAGAAAATGACCTCTTAACTGCTTCTTCATGCGTTATGCATGGCTGAATTCTATGCGGTAGCGTTCTTTTGCTCCGTCCTCTCCTCGTCCCATCTACCTCTAGCTCAAAGGTGTCAGATTTTACCAGGTTTGAGAATTTCTTTGTGTCAATTTTTTTGATTGGCCAAAAATATTTTATTTTTTCCGGCGTTCCTTCCTTTTTCATTTTTTTATTGTTGTGGTGTCCTCCCTCTAAAGAGTCTATGTTGGACTCTTCCGCCTACTATAAGATTAGTAGGAAAGAAGGTCTGGGGAGAATAGTCGAATAGATTGAACGCTGGTCAACCGACACACACTCAGTAGCCGTGTAATACTCTTCTGTTGTATTTACTGTTTGATATATGATATATCTGTAACACATGTTTTGTTATTTCTTAAACCATTTACTTGGTCACAACATCTTGGCGACGAAGGATTCGAAGAAACGGGCTTCACGTTAAATCCTAAAAAAAAAAAATTTGCCAATGTCTACAACAGTGGGGAAGAAAGTATTTCTAATCAAACGCTACGACAAAAGGGTATCCAGTGTTAATTACAACACTGACAGTGAAAAAAAGAAACTCCTCAAAACAATAGGATTTCTACAAGTTCAATTCAGTGGCTGGGAAGAAGGTTGGTGATCCTTGTTATTTTTTCCATTCCAACAATCTCAGTAAAAGAGCTATACAAGTCAAACAGACTTATTGTTTTCGATGATAGGGTAAAGTAAAAATTTACATCCTCTCCCGCTTTTAAATTTTTCAGTAAAAGAATCGTACAAGTCAAAAAAACTTATTGCTGGTTAAGAAGGTAAAGAGAAAAAATCCCCCCTCTCTTTTCTTAATTTTACGTACTACCGCACTAAAATGGACGAATTTAAAAGTGCAATGCTAGAGTTGACGAAACACCAACAGGAACAACAACTACAGTTGGAACAGAAATATCAAGAAAGACAAAATAAATTCCAAGAACAAGCAGAATACCAGAAGAAAATTGAGGAATTGCACGTAGAATTTCAGGTTAGACAACAGAAACTGGGAGAAATGCTCCTTCAAACACAAAATGGGCAAAGGCACTTGTATAATATATCCATCAAAAGCCAAAATGAGGACAGCGAAAACGCGTTCTCTCAAAATGTTATGTGGAGTGCTATTGAAAACTTCATATTTGCATCTGAAGAATAAATTACATTCGCTTCGTACTTTAAACGTTACGAGGACTTATACAATACGGATTGTGCAAGTTGGGCTGACCATAAAAAGGTTCGCCTACTCCTCAAGAAATTAGGCAGAGCAGGATATACTAAGTTTGTTAACTATATTTTGCCTTAGAAAACCAGTGACTTGAAGTTTAAAGAGGCGGTTCAATCATTAACAGAACTCTTAAAAACGTCACTGTTCCACAAGCGTTGGAAATGCATGAATCTCACCCGTAAAGAAGACGAAGATTATACTACTTTCGCGAGTGTAGTCAATAAGAACTGCGAGGACTTCAAATTGGCAGAGTTAAGCGCCAATGATTTAAAGGCCTGATTTTCGTCCAGGGTTTGATTTCAGCGAAAGACGCCGAAATACGTCTTAGGGTACTCAACAAGCTTGAAAACGAGCCCGACGTTACTTTACAGCAAGTTGCCAAAGAATGCCAACGTTTCGTGAGCGTCAGAGAGGATTCGAAAAACATCGAACAGAGTGGCGTGGCTCACATTAAAAAAAAAGTATGCCAAAGAAAGAGTCAACCAAAAAATAATAATGTTACTTTGCCGTCACGACCATGTTTCGGGTGTAGTCAATTACATTGGTATAGAGATTGTCCTTTCAAAGATAAAAAAATGTTTTAATTTCGATATATTGGGACACAAATGTTCCCACTGCAGGATTAAGAACAAGACAAAAAATAGTTTTGTAAAAATTACCACGTCTGATGAACCAGAAAGTCGTAACATCAGGAAATATATGGAAGTGCAAATACAGGGTGTCCATAAAGTTCGTGTGCACTTTAAAAAATTTATAACTATTTGTATTTCAAAATTTTTTAGGTCTTGCCAATTATTACATTTTAGTCCCAAGAATGCATAGTTTGAGTGCTCCACTTAATGGATTATTGAGAAAAGATAATGAGTGTGAATGGAAAACCAAATGCCAGCAAGCATATGAGAAAATAAAGGAAATCCTTACATCAGATCTGTTCCTAATTCATTACGATCCAAACATTTACATCATTGTAGCCAGCGATGCTAGCTCCTACGGCATCGAGGCGTGCATTTTACACAAGTTAAAGGATGAATCGGTAAAGCCAATCGCCCATGTATCTCGGACGCTATTATCTGCTGAAAGGGATTACTCGCAAATAGAATAGGAAGCCTTAGGAATCATTTTTGCGTTGACTAAATTTCATAGATTTATTTCGTGGAAGGTACTTTTTTGTTGCAGACAGACCATCGTCCACTCTTTACTATCTTTGCATCAAAAAAGGGTCTGCCAACACATGCTGCTAATAGACTGAAAAGATGGGGAACTACTCTCCTCAATTATAACTACAAAATGGAGTTTCTCCCATCCACTAAAATCTGTCATGCAGACGGGATGTCTAGATTGATACCTAAGTATGCTGAACATCTGGAAGACACATTCATTGCCGCCATAAGAACAGAGGTCGAAATAAAAAGTATCTAGTGCAATACTGTCTGGTAGCTTCCTATAACAATTGACGAGAGTCTGATAAGGATTTACGTCTACTGGACCAACATGGACAAGGATATTGAAAACACTGTAAGATCATGCAAAGTGTGTGCTTTGGCTGCTAAAGCACTCACGTTAAAATTCAATCCCTGGCCTAAAACCGACCCTCCGTGGTCTTGGAAACATATTGATTTTGCTGACCCACTTGATGGTTTTTACTACCTTGTATCAGTTGACAGTTAATCCAAGTGGCCAGAAATACTGAAATGTAAGAAGCCGACCGCAGAGGTGACAGTAAAGTTTTTACACGAGCTATTTTCCCGTTTCAATGCCACACAGTTCACATCCTGTGAATTTAAGGATTTTTGTCAGCCATTCCTGATCGAACATATTACCACGGCGCCATATCACCGAAGAAGTAATGGACAGGCAGAGCGTTTTGTGAACACTTTTAAGAGAGCACTGAGGAAGGCGAGAGGTACTCCCACCGATACGGCTATACAGCAGTTGTTGCAGATCTATCGTGTAACCCCTAATAGCAATGTTCCATCTGCCAGCACGCCAGCGGAGGTCATGTTTGTCAGGAAAATAAAATCGGCATTTGACAAATTCCTTCCGAGTGAAACAAAATCGGGAAATAGGAATAAAGTGCTTAAAAAGCGCTTTAAGATCAGTGAAAAGGTTGTTTTTTGTTTTTGTTTTTTTCGTCTATTTAGGAATAATAAAGCTCACTGGGAGATACGAACAATAGACAGACAAATTGGTACATGATTTACATAGTTCAGGGACCGAAGTTTATACACAAACGTCATTAGAAAACGGTATGAAAACGTAGTCGACAGGTATCCCATAGAAGATGACACTATGGACCGCAATCAGTTCTAGAGCTCAAAAAACCCAAAAGAAAAAAGAAATTTACGAAACCTTTAGAAATCAACCCGAAAAGAAAAAGATATTGAATATCTTTCATTTCATACCATGTCTACAGAAAGAGGAAAAGAATGAGTAAAAAAAAAAAAAACATCTCCTCACTTATGAACTTTGAATTACCAGAAAAGCACAATACGCATTGGATTAATGGAAATTATTAACATTATAATTTACCATTAAACTTATCCAATTTTTCATTATTTAGGAATAATGAATAGAGACCTTAATAAAAAGGAACTGTTGTTAACAAGTAAAAGTAAAAAGCAAAAAAATTGTGAACGTAATTCCTGTATATAGCTTTTTCAGGTGGTTGTTTCTGATTTTTTCTTTGTGAAAAATGGTTTATTTGGTTGAATAAAAAGTATTATGTGGTAATTATAAAAAAAAGAGTCCATACAGAGTCAGACTGAAAAGGGGAGTGTTGTGATGTCCTCCCTCTAAAGAGTCTATCTTGGATTCTGCCGCCTACTATAAGATTAGTAGGAGAGAAGGTCTGGGGAGAACAGTCAAATAGATTGAACGCTGGTCAACCGACACACACTCAGTAGTCGTGAAATACTCTTCTGTTGTATTTACTGTTTAACATATGATATATCTGTCACACTTCTTTTGTTATTTCTTAAACCATTTACTTGGTCACAACATTTGTAATGGAAGTTATGTCTCCCTGATTTTTGGTATTTTTCAGTCACAAATAAATGGGCTCGGATCTTGCAAACTTTTTTTTCAGTCTTTTCTTCTTCCTCCTCTTTTTATATGAGGGATGTCATATCATTAGTTGAGAGAAGTATAGAAAGAACTTCAGTGAGAGAGAAAGACATAAGTCTTTTAAAGGAAAGCGCAAATGCCTTATTTTAATTATTTTTATTTTTGTTTATAAATTTTATTTTTATATTTTATTTTTATCGGGACTCACTAAATCGTTCCCAACCCTTGTTTGATTTTCGTTTTTGCTTATTGAAGGTTGTTTCATTTTCTCATACGGGTTTCTGTTACGCATATATTACACACCAGGATCTACTCTGTGTTCCCAAAGTTTTCAATCTGATGCCGAATAATTAGGTCTTCTCCATTGTTCAGTATGAAGGATCTTTTGTGTGACACCATTGCAGTTCAATTCTTGAAATCTAAACTGTTAGATTCTACCTCTGACTACATACAACATCTAGCTGCCGATGTCTTCACCGTAACCCTGGCAGGAGTAGCTCCCGTGCGCTATGCATTGCCAAAGGACAACCCATGATTTGGCCGTTACGGTATTTGAATGTGCTGTCCGGCTAGACTGGTTGCCAATCACAGCTAGAGAGCCCAGTCTGCTCTGCTAATTAAACCATATCTGGGTGGGGGATAAATTGTTTCATACCTTTCTTTACATCCATTTACATTCATTTCATTCTTTCTTTACATTCATTTAGGCTCAAATACCTTTCCGGTATTTGAGCCTAAATGAATGTAAAGAATTCGACTAAAACTCAGACTCAGCTCTCCCATTTCTAATTCCGAGGTATCCATTACTACACCCGCACTTCCACAAATTAAGAGATATAAAAAAAGAAAGACTATCAAAAAATAAAATATGTAATCGTAGAAATATTAATATTAAAAATTAACCCAGTGTATTCCGAATGCTAGCAAAGACAAAATGAGCACTTAAACTTTTATCTATATTTCCTATTTCTTTGTCTTTCCTTGATCTACAAAGCCATCACTTCTCTAAGCGAACATAACCGATGGTAACATAGCGATCCCTATTGCAAATCGAACCATAAAGAAAGTTGAGCGGTAAAATAACGAAAATCAGTTTTGTTTTTTGTTTTGTTTTTTTTTACTTATTACCATGTCATAGGAGGCACGGTGGAGTAATGGGCAGCAGCTCGGATTTAGGAATCGGAGATCCATTATATTCACTTATGTGCATTGAGAAAGGTATAAATCCTCTTCTTCTTTCCCCAGCTATGGATAAATAGCAGGACAGACCGGATTCTATAGCCTTGGACGGCAAATGGTCTACCGCAGAAAGACAATGGCAACCTACTGCGGGAAAAAATCTGCCTCGTCAATCATGTATCGAAAGATACATGATCGCCTAAGCGAGTATCACGCATGGCACATAACTGACTGACCATTTCATACATTCTCAGACATCTTGCTATATAAATATAAAGGTTTATTTTTCTGCTTTGAAGACTTCTATTTGAAGAAAAATATTTTCTGAAACATTTTTCTGTACTCTATTTTGCATATTTTGCTAAGAAATTTTATTCATATTTTTTTAGGAACCGACTGACTTGATTTAGACTTTTTTTTAAGAAACAATGTTAAATTAATTTTATTTTTTCATCATAAATCTTCTTTACATTTCGATATTCTTATATTAATTTTTACCCGACTCCAACATATTTTTATTACACAAATATTTTTATACAATATAACTAATATTAGAACTATGATCATCTTCTGTGTTCTAAAAGCAAACGAGGTTATTTCCACTATCAACTTTATTTTGGAATGAAATTTAAAGATTTTTTTCCAAAAGAAAATCTATCCTGATTATTATACTTACTGTATCGTTAGTAACGGGTGGTTGTGCTTCAGGTTCACTTCTAAGGTCATAATCCTCTAGGAGCAAACCAAATTGTCGAAGGTTGAACCCATCGATACCAAGACTCATCCAGTACCGAAGAATCTCCTGTTGAAATATTATCGATATTAAAGAATTGTATAACATGTGTAAGGCGAAATAAATTATACAAACTAAATAAAAATCAATTTAAAACATAAAATTACTTCATTTCAAAGGTAAATCATTCTTTCTTTTTTCTTCTTTTTTTTCTTTTTTTAAATAATTTAAATAGAAAGATTGTGTTAGAAATTAAAAATGTGTCGCAACAGTGAAGATTTTAAGAGTAATAAACCGTTTAAAAAGTAAAAAACAATATTTTCGAAGTCACATTTTTCCATTTATTGATTTACTGATACTTTAGGGTGAGCACAACAGTAATTTTTACAGTTGCACTGCACATAATAGTATGTTTTTATTTTTTCAAATTACTAATGAGTAAAATACACTTTCTGTACTACGCAGTTGCCGAAATATAGACGTCTAATTTCAACACAAACGAAAATAATTTTGAAGACAATTTGACACTATTGATGTAAAAAAATATCTGTAAACAAGTATTTTCTAGATCATTGGGATTAAATGAACTGTATAAGCAAACATTATATATATATATATATATATATATATAGATAGATAGATAGATAGGGAGAGGGAGAGAGTAAAGTTTGGATGAGAATTCAGTTTATCGCATATTCCTACTAAATTGGTACTAAAGCAATGTGGTTCAGTACCAATACCATATGTCAATGTGGAATATGATAACCTTAAAATAAATGGTATATTAATATATAAAAACTGAGATTAAATTTGTTGAAATCTAATTTCTGAAGCGTTAAAAGTAAAAAAATCAAGCGCTCATATGCTTAACGTAAGTCATGTTTTGTCTTGTTAATGTACATTTTGTTGAAATAAAATTTGGGTAGAAGCCGATGGATAGATTCATAACCTCTACTACGATAAACTATAAATAGTGAATATAATAATACATATTGAATTAAGCCGATCTCCTTTTTTCTTTAAGAAATGACAAGTTACTAGTTTCTAAAAAAACAAAACATTCACACTAAAGTTGAATGTTTGTATAAAAAGATTTCATATATTATATAATCATACCAATTCTTTTGTGATTATTTTAATTTTTTTTTCATTATAACGTTATTGTTCCATGCAGCATTTGACATATTCATTCAGGCTCATTATGTCAATTAAATAGAATATTGTCCTTTGTAAAAAGGTGCATGAAAAAATGCATTATTCTCTGACATTAAAAGTTTTGTTTGTTTTTTTTTTTTTTTCAAATCTATCACTGAAATTCACATACCACAGAGCATCAGACTTTCAAGTTGGAAGTGAGAAATAAAGGGGAAGTAACTGCGTTTCTTAGCATTTATTTAGCAGCTTTAGCTACAATTTTGTACCCGGACCTTACATAATGAAAGCATCACAAACCAGAGATTAGATATATCACTTTTTCTTTATATATATATATATATATATATATTCACTCCAGAATAATCCCTTTTACTGATCGATGAAATTGAAAATACCTGCAGGGCCGCTCTCGGGAACAAGAGGCAGAGCAGAAAATACTGCAATGCTATGTCATCAAACTTTCAGCTGCAACTACTGCGACCGTGTATGCTGATCCCGCATTGGACTTATCAGCCACAAATGTGCCTGCAGGCGACGTGTACAGACTCCCTCTTGATCTTCGTTTTACGAAGAAGCCAAGCCATGATGATGATTGATCGATGACTTTATTTTGTTTGTGTTGTATAAATAAAAAAAAGTAACCAATAAATTCTGAAAAGCTCCTGCAGCAGTATACACCTCAGGAATGCCAAATAATATATCAACCAGAATGTGTTGTTATCAGTTATGACGAAAATAATTCGAAAAATACATAGAATAATATTGTAATAGAGTATAAAGTGCATGGGACGTTATTTACATGTGCCGAAAGTTATCTCCCTTAAGTTACATTTAACAAAGTTACTTGTTTCTAATGATGAAATGAGAATGAGAATGTCAGTATACGATTTAAAACCAACATATTGATTATCATGTTTAATTACACTATTTTAATAAATGTATTCAGTAGGGACAAAAAGGTAGAGACATGTTGGAAATTTCTTTGGAAAAAGTTTCCTGTTCTTTTATTTGTAGATAAAAATGTTCTAAAAGATTTTTTCTCGTTGCAAAACAAAAAAACAAAGCAACTTAAACTTGCTTGACGAAATCATCAGGTTGCTCATCAACTTAGATAATTCCCTGGTGTTTCAGTGAATACACGAAATCTGTCTACAGAGACAGATTTGTTGTCTTGAAACGAACACTAGTTCCATGATCCTACAATTACTGACTGTTTTATCCAACAGTTTTTTGTCTAAAGAAATACATTTTAGAAGGTTTTATAGTATTTCTATATTTTTATTTGTAATAGTTTAATATTTCTTACATCTTTTATTGATATTCTTAAGTGCGCTTAAATTTTGTTTTATTTTCTTTAAAATAATGTTCCGCTTTTTCCTGTTGTTTGTTCTTTGCTTGCCAACCCAGCTAAATTATTTACATATTTAAACGCAGTTCATGGCAGAAATGTAAATTCTAAAAAAGAATTAACTGCCAAATTGAACGTTTCCAAATTCTAGAAAAAAATCGAAAATGTTTAAAATGACAAAACAATATTAATTGATGTTAGCAAGTAACTAATATATAATAGTACAGTAATGACAAAAGTACGCAGGTGTAGGCTTTAAGAAATCTTTATTCAACTGAGACTACAAGGTTCGCGTATAGTGTCCTTCTGACCAGCAAACAGAAATAACTCTATCAAAGAGGAAAGTAACAAAACAAGGGGAGACCACTCTTGATTATTCATAATAAGTACATTCTATGTTCAGTGGGGGGAAATAAATATTCTTACACATGAAAAATTGTATTTTTATAAATGTAAAAGCCTTAACTAAAACAAAGTTTGATACATTTTATGTGTAAAGATACATTTTATTAAAAAATAGTAATAAACTTAATTCTTATTCTAACAGAAATTAATGCATTTTTTTTTTCATTTTAACTGATGAAAAAAATATTCGTACAAAACAAAAAAAAACATATTAACTTAATTTAATACTTTGTGGAATATCCTTTATTGAGTTCAACAGCTACAAGTCTATTCCTGTACGTCTCAACTAATGATTTGCAATAATATTGAGCGGTATTTTGTCCCATTCTTCTTGGCATATTGTCTTCAAATTTTGATATTTGTTGGTGCACTTTTCCCAATTTGAATTTTCAAATATGGCCATAAATTCTCGATTGGGTTCAAGTCTGGGGACTGACTTGGCCATTGCAAAACATCAGCGTTACTTTCAACTAACCATTTCCTTGTAGATCTAGCGGTATGCTTAGGATCATTATCCAGTTGGAAAACCCAATCAGGAGGTAGCCGAAGTCTCTCAACAGAACGCATTAAATTGTCTTGCAGGATTTTCTGGTATCTTTCGGCATTCATCTTGCCATCTATTATTGATATTCTGCCAACACATTTTGCAGAAAAACAGCCCCAGATCATGATACTGCCACCACCAAACTTTACAGTTGGCAACGTGTTCTTTGATAAGAAGGCTTAACCGTCCTTCCTCCACACATGATTTCGATAATTATGACCAAACAACTCTATTTTAGTTTCATCTGTCCATAGTACTTTTTCCCAAAACGAATATTCTTTATCCTTATGCTCTCTAACGAATTTAACCCTAGCATTTCTGTGTCGTTTCAAGAGGAGCAGAGTCTTCCTTGGGATGCGTGATTTCAGACTGTTTTTGTGTAGTTCATTACTTATTGTACGCTTGGTTACTTTAATCCCTAATGCACGCAGATTTTCCTGCAGCTTTTCTCGGGTAACCTGTGGATTTTGTTGGATCTGGCGTCCTAATATCCTTCCTGATCTTAGAGAAATCTTCCTCGGAGCACCCTGTTCGTCTTTGGTTTTCGACGCTGTTACGAGTTTTAAACCTTGCAATGAACGAAGCACTTGTAATAAAAGGAATATTCGGGTTGTTAGAAATCGTTCTGTAACTGTTCCCATTTTCCAAAGAGACAAAATGCGTTGTTTTTGTGAAATAGTCAATTCTTTACCTTTTGGCATTATTAGAACCTTCTCGTAAGACTAGAAATTTCAGAATACTCTGATAATGGCTAACAGCGTTAACTATAATTACTGATAGCATTACTAGAACATTCTAGAATATACTTTTTTCATAATTAATTGATTATTTTATTCTAATAATTGATTTGTACGAATACTTTTTTCACCAGTTAGAATTTTTAAAAAATAATTAATTTTTATTTTAACAGAAATTAATGTAAGTTTATTATTATTTTTTAATAGTATGTGTCTTTATACATAAAATGTGCCGAGATTTGTTTTATTTAAGGCTTTTACATTTATAAAAATACAATTTTTCAAGTGTACGAATATATATTTCCCCCCCCCCACTGTATGTGCTTTTACAAAATACTAGTTTTAAATCATTTTTTTATACTAACGACCCGATCATTATTATTCGTTGATTCATTTGAACTAATGTCTGAAAGATGCATTGTGTACTAATAACCATATTTTGTTGCAAAGATTTAAACAAGTACTAATTATTCATTTTAATTGCCAACCTGTTTGAAAAATAACACATTTCACAAACAAATGAGTAAAAATTGGCGTTCGTTTGTGGGAGGCTTATTATTTTGGGTGACTGGAGAACGACTGTCTACCTTGCTCAATCTTTCTTACACCAATATTCGTCATATCCGTACCAACTTCTGCAGAGTAGAATCTTTATTCCTGGAAAAGTCGCCAGATATCTATACCCTCTATGAAACCAACCTGAATTCTTAATTGCAGGGTATCTTCCCCTTTACCAAAAAGATTCCAGTATTCACATGCATAACCTTTGTGTTTACATCCGGGATAATCTTCCTCAGCTCTCGTCATAACAGGTGCTACTAGCCTTTCGTACTAACGCGGGTGTCCCCCAAGGCTCCATACTTAGTCCTACGATGTTTTTAATCTTCATTAACGACCTTCCCGATGACATCAGCTCTCAACTTGGCATCTACACTGACGACACTACCATTTACTCCTGCATCGATAGTAAGGCTGTTCAGTCCAACAAGGTCAAAATGGCAGCTGTTTTACAAAACGACCTCAAGACCGTCGTTAACTGGAGCAAAAGATGGCTCGTCAATTTTAACACCTCCAAAACTAAACTTCTCTCCATTAATCATCTGAGAGACCCCTCTTTGCCTTCCATCAGCATAGCTGATGCTATTCTGTTTGAATATCACTTATCAAAATTTAGTCATGAAATTTAGTTATTCTAAAAAGCATAACATTTTCTCAATTTTTTAAATGAAAAAGCCTATTCATTATAAAAGCAAATAAATGTACTCAAACAATGTACTGAAATTTTCATTTAAATTGGATAATTCCCTGATTTGTGGTAATTTAAAAAGTTCTGCCCCTCCCCACCACCACTACAATTTTCTTTCGAGGGTTGGTGGCCCTCCAGGTTGGGAAACTTTGAAATCGACATGTAGTAGAGAGGGTAGAGCAGACCCTAATGTAGGCCCTGATGATGAGGAAGCAAGACCTTCTAGGTTTAGAAAGGAAATAATTTTGACAGCCGTGATATGAGTAAGATTTATTAAATAAATACATCAAAACTTTCTATTAATCTTATAGTGGTGGCTCAACAAATTCTAACGGTATGGGAAAATAGATACAATCGTCACACGTTAGCATTAGCTATGCACAAACAAGTCTTCACTTTTATTTCTTAAGGGAACCCAAAGTTAATATTTAGATGGAGACCATTTAGATTAAACATGGTTGCTAACAAAATTTGGTAGAAAAAATTTCAATTTCAAAAGTAATTAATTGGGTGTAAGCTTCTCGGTAAAAGTGGGTAGGAAAAGCTGAATCCTTCTGAAGCGGGTGCATCCATTGACTTTGAGTTGCCAACTTTGCTTATCTTTCCTTCCAGAGGCTTCGAGCTTAGGATCTTTGGATAACGAAATCGAACGACTCGATTGGTCCATTAGTCTTCCTCTTTGTCACATGTTTTGGTTCTCTACTACGTCCGCGCCGAATGGATTCAGTTAAACTGATTTGGAAATTTACAAAATCGACAGTACGAACATTATTTGTATATGCATGTGTAATCCACACTTTTCGCCTATTTTTAACCCTAATTCCCATCATTTTTGAACTTAGCATTAGTTATTTTCTGCACTAACAACTCAAAATTTCTGGAGTTCAAAGAAAAAAAGAATTAACGATTAAGCATCGAATGATCAATTTCTAACCTTAAAATTAGTTTTAACAAGATTCGACATTGAATATTCATGTTGTACATATTAAGTAAAGAAGAACGGAGGTGTCAGTAGTTAGGAATTAAGGCAAGCGTTATTGACAGGGTAAGGCTATAAAATTTCAAATTGTTCATATTTAAAAATTTAATTGATGTTGAAACTCGATCCTAAGCTTACAAAAATGTTGAAATTCGATCATCAGCTTACACAAAAACGAAATGAAAAATAATTTACGCCTCAGTTTGAATTTTTAAATAAAAGCCGGTTACTGTATGGAAAACTTAAAACCTGTGCATATTTTCAGTCTAACGAAATGTTTAAAATTCTTTTCTTGGAATAAATGTTAACATTTGCTCGGCATACCAATTAGCTAAGAAGAGAGAAAAAGGGAGGTAGACTTTTCAGTTACACCCACCAATTAGTAGTAGTATTAAGCTGTTTTCGCTGTCATTTTTTTTTCTTTTGTCGCACTTGTACGAAACCTAATATTTTCTTTTCAAATACGTTGACAGCATTAAAATGAAAACTTTTATTAGGTTAAATACTGATAAATACAGAGTGAAATCAGTGGGTGCAGTAAACACTGTAATTTGATTATGTTACCTGTAGAAATAAAGTTATCGAGAAATTCGTATTGGATTACCAACAAAGTACCTTAGAAAATCTTTTGTATTCGTGTCAAGCCACCATGTTGGTGTATTTAGTATCTGATGTCTCTTACAAGTGATTAAGACGCCTTTATACTCCAGCATTCTGCTTAATATTCTCGCTGATTTTAGTTATGATTTAGTTCATTTATTGATTCATTCATTTTCTACAACTTATAAACTTTTTGAATGTTATATAAAGACAGAAAATATTTTTAGATTTTTGGGGGAGATAATTGTTTAGTGATACATGCCTTACTAATTAACCCATAGCAGAGGTAGATGTGCATTCATACATTTCCCAGGGTTATTTGCGCGTAAGTGACTATAAGAAACCCAACGGGTCGCCAATTAAGAATTCCTGGACATTATCCATTACATCACCCGCACATCCAAGCTTACGGCACCTGTTATTCCAAAACAGTCACCTATGTAGGTAGTGACCAAGCTCGACGTTGCTTAACTTCACTGATTGTACGGAAACCGAATGATTTAAGATAGATTCCGTTTTCCCTAGAATTTCCAAGGCTCCAAATATTTGTGTGTCTCATTGGAATTATTCAATGTGTTCCAGTAATTGTAAGTACTCCCGTCACCATAATATTACAAGTTTTTTTTTTGTTTTGTTTTTTTACTTTGGTAAAATTTTGATGATATAGATTCAACTTCATTCTCGGATGATTTTTTTTTTTCATTTTGAACAACTATATCCACTTTATGATGACAAGATCCAGTCTGATCCTGTTCTCGGTGATTCGTTTGAATTTTAAACATCCATAGAAGTTTCCTTCTTCCATTTTGTCAATAGGTTTTTAAAGTCTATACCAAAACGCTTAGGAGAATCTTCACCGATTAAAAAGTTAAGCTAATATATCAATTAAAATATTTTTAAAAAGATCAAACCAAATCATATATTTTCTCTCAAATCCTAAAATTGTATTTGTTTTAAATTTAATAAAGAAATTCTTATAATGACAAAGATTACAAAACTTTTTAAGACAAAATCTATTGTTAAAATAAATGAAAAGTTTCCTTACAAACTTACATTAAGCTTATCCAGAACAATGGAACTGCGAAGATTGAGGTCTGGCAATGAAGGGTCAACCTGATGCAAGTAAGTTGCGTTTCTCTTGGAAGAAAAAGACCAGGCTGAACCATTTGCCTGTGCATTCTGTTGAACGTGAAATAAAATAGAGACGTTACAAAACAAAGACTCCTTAAAACATTACAGCTACAATTTAATTAGAGGACAAAAATTAACAAGCAAAATCATGCATACCTAATCACCGAAAGTAAATAAATTCAACATTACAACTCAGACTATTAACTATTTGGAACTGGACGACAATATAGCGATTTTCCGAGGGTAGCTTAGATGTGGAACAAGGCCGAAAGTATGGGGCACCCAGTGAGGATCGAACCCGGACGACAATATATGGCGCAATACATTTCTTTTACCGTGAAACTGGGAAGATAGTTTGCCAATATAACGTTACACATTGTCAGGTCTTTTAAGAGCTTGTTGCATTGATAATAGTGCAATTTAATTTTTCCCTTTTTAATAATGAATTGTATTTCTGTATATTTGACTTTATGACTGTCACTGAGAATGGGAATTTAACGGTATCCATTAAACAATTTTAAAATGGTGGTGACAATAAAAAGCTGTGCATAAACATCGCTATGTTTTTGCAAGTTCTGTGTCTTATTATTATGTAGATCGACAAGATTCAAGACGATTTGTAGATGGTGATGAACGCAGTGAATGCAATAACTGAGTGGGAGCGACTGACAAGATATTTCGACGATATGACGTCTTGGCATTGTGTATAAAAGCCTCATTGGAAAAATATTCTGTACTATAATTTAGAAGAAAAAAAAATCCCATCAAGGGCTAAAAAAGGATTTTTATATAAATCGTAGTCCCAAGTAATTAAAATAAACTAATATATCAACATTGGTGTTTGCAAAATTTAAGTAAAATAGAGGAAACAGTTTCTTTTTTTTTTTTTTTTTTTTTCCTTTTTTTTTTTTTTTTTTTTTTTTTTTTTTTTTCTTTAGTTAATGTCATAAGGGAAATAACCGTAGAATTATGAAAAGATAGATACTGTCATATTTGTGGCGTTGACCAGAAATTAAAAATGATAAAAAGAAGCAAAGTTTGAAGAGGACTTCAATAGTATGAAAAAGGGCAAACCTTTCGAAGCTAAGTTGCAATGGAATTCGTCTTATCATTCGAATTCTGTCCGTAAAGCAACACTTCTCCATTCCACTAAAACGGATTATCACTTGATGATCATAATTCTATTGTGTTGCTTCAGGCATATTTTTATAAGCGTTCGATATTGTTTAATTTCTGTATTAGGTGAGCATATGAACATACCACATTTTAAAAAATGATTGCTGTTTACATCTTACTTTCATATATAACTATTTTTTCTATAGGAAAACGGCAGATGATAGATTCAAATTCTCTGCCTATGCCCACTATTATTTAAACCCACTTCTTGCATCGGATAAAATACAAATCTTAAACATTAGCAGGAAAACTAGCCCCCTCCAAAAACGTGGGGGGGGGGGGCAGTTCATTCCGGTCACTTGCTATTAAACAGTATGCTAGTTTTACATTCATCTTAGTTTCCGTGTAATTTTCAGGAGGTAAGTAGAATAACCTTTATTCAATTTACAGGGGTAGATTGTTCTCATTTCGTTCCATATTTAGGAAATATTTCATATCAATTAATATTCAACAGTCTTAGTCACCTTAGTGTCGCTACTCCATTTCTTCCACTGAAACAAACTGACTTTTCAGTACTACAAGATTCAGTGGATTGAATAAAGGGTTAGGTTTGAAATTCCAAGTAGGTTACCATATACGAAGATAGATACCAGAAGACGGAAGTGTACCATGGCTGAAAAGTTGTGGGTGTAAGATGAGCATGCTGTTCCGAATAGCAAGTCATATGTTTTTACCTCATCAATAATTTATTTGTTAATTATCCAGTAGTAAACATTCCTTACCCAATTATTTGGTGTGTTATTTCCATTGACCCAAACGTAAAAGTTCTGTCGATTTCTTCCACTAGACATTTCGCTCTCTTGAAACCATTTGTGTTGCTTGCCGGTCATGTTGGGAATGAAATCAAGGACCAAGTACATTCCTATTAAATATTGGAAAAAATAATTACAATTCTGAGATATTAATGATTATGTAGTAAATGCGTGAAATTTCAAGTTTTAGTTCTCCAATGATCTAGTAGATTTTGGGGGTCCTTCATAGTCATTTTTACCGAGAAAATGCAACAGATTGTGCTAGGTTACATGATACCTACAACAAAGACTATTCTCTGACATTATCTTTCTCCAGAACATTATTTCGCGAAAGTTCAATCTCATTTAAATCCATTTTTTAACAATTTCTTTAACTTTTTAATATCTTTTAAAAACTTTCCTTTTGTATGGATTTTTTTCGAAAACACATACAAAAATATTGGGTTATAATTATTTATCTTAAATTGAAAATAAGCGCCTACATAAATTATTGATTTATTTAAATTTTTCTTCTTTACTTAAAACATGTACATATCCGTTTGTTCGGCATTTAAGAATTTTTTTTTAATTTAAAAAAAAAATAACCCCACCTTAAAAAAATGTTTTCGTACTTAGGACAACCAGGGTTCGATTTGACACAGTATCGATATTATGATCAGGACCTCCTTCTAGATCGATGAGAATTCAATATTTTTCATTTCTGACAAGTACCGCGGACTAAGGAAGATGTAAAAAATGGTAATCTACAAAAATATTTCAGTAATGCTCTAATATAAATGTTAGTTTTTCTTGTCCCTTTTAGATTCAAATGCACGGGTTGGAACTGTTATTCTAATTTTGGAGAAAAATCCACCCAGGATATCCTCGCTTCACCTACCACTTTCATAAAATGTCCAGGTGATTTCTTTCCACCCCTTAACGTAGACTGTGAGATTTCTAGGACAAAGCGTTTTATTTGAATATTTAAAAAAAAGGAGTGTTTGGAATAAGAATATCCCAGGTGGATTTTTGTCAAAAAATATAATTGCCCCGGTTCATCCATTTGAAATTCAATAGATAATTGAATAAATATTGCCGAAATTGAAGAAACATCTAATAATGGAGATTTTTGTAGAAAACTAAAACATCCTTTGTTCTTTAAATAATTGTTTCGAATTCATATTAAAAATAAATGTCGAGACATTGGGAAATAGAGTGACTCCAAAGAGTAAGAAGTATAGTAATTAGGGAAATTGATTTAATGGAGAGATCAGTTGTGCAACGTAGCTTAACACTATATGAGACTAACAAGAATGGGGCAATTAAAAAAAAGTATAAAATTATGTGACTGACGGAAGATTCATTCTTGCCATATATGTTAAAGAAACTACAAATTTTTTTTTTTTTTATTAAGTTCAAAACTTTCACCTTTTCAATAAATAAACGCTTTACAACTTGTCTTGGCCATATCTCAATTGCCATCATTACGATGTTTGCGACTATATTAAGTAAAATTTCTGAATCATTTATTTCTGGGGTCCTTTCAATTGTGGGTTATCCCAATTGGCTTTGTCAAAACGACTATTAAGAGGCGCTCTTTAAGCCTATAAAAAGACAATCTCTCTCTCTCTCTCTCTCTCTCTCTCTCTCTCTCTCTCTCTCTCTCTCTCTCTCTCATATGTAGTCGACGTAGATAAAGAACACGGCCGACAAAACGCGTTCGCTTCCTTGGTCCTCTGTTGACTTTTGAACTCCCTTGCATTCACACAAGTGTATCGCACACACACAAACAAACAATGACATTCTCATTACTAGTTTCAATGTCTTTTCCTTTCATTTCAATTGTGTATACATGTAATTCCTTTTGTTAATAACATACATTGTCATTTGTTTTATATTCATTATTTTGTAAAATTATTTTTACCCGAACTCACATTCCGTCAATATTGTTTGCGGGATAAATTTTCCAGGAACTCATAAATTTATTATTTTATTTTTATTATCAGTCTCTTACTCCGTTTCTTGCAGAATACGCATCAACATGAGATATTCTTCTCTACAAAGTTCGATCAAATCCATTCCCTAAGTAGATATTATCAAGCTAGCGTTTTGGCTGTCAACCTCTGCTTCTCTTACCGAGCAACTTTCCTTCTAGACATGAGTAACTCACGCCATGTCTATACATATCACAACCAAAGAGGTGATATCTACGACACAATGATTTATTTCTACCCAAAATATACTAGTATACCGCAACACAGAATCATATTCTCCAATGTATGTATGATAGCGTGAAAACATAAGTCTTGAATTTTGTCCCTTATGTTTTAAGAACTGTCCGCATTGTGGTCAGAATCAGGTAAAGTTATCTAAATTTGTGATTTCATAAAAGTAACACATCAAATCTATTTAGTTCGGTACTGATTTCCAGTCTAACGTGTTTAGTTTATACATTAGGAAAATACCTCTTTTATGAACAGCGCTGATGAGATCGATCAGGTCTTGTATGTCTCCATAGTCAGTGTTCACGCTGGTGTGATTGGTTATTGAGAACTCAACATCGTTGCTATCCTCAGGATAGATTGGACTTAAAGAAACAACATCGACGCCGAGGTCCTCCAAATAGTCCAACTTTGACACAATTCCTGAAACATTTGGAAGAAAGCAAAAAAAAAAAAAACATTATCAATATTTACAAATCACGCTGAACGTTTTTCTTTAGTTTTATAATTCTCTTAAAAGACTTCATGTATTATTATTTTTACCCGGACTCACATTCCATCAATATTGTTTGCGGGATAAAGCTACTCCAAATTAATTACAAAGAAAGTTTCAAATAACTAACGCTTGATTCTCCCGCAGTCTTTTTTATTTTTTTTAAATTGTTGAATTTATTCCTTTTTTGCTTGTATTAAAATAACTAATACTACTTTCATCCTGCCCCATGTTGACAGATAAAGGAAGAAGATTGAAAGTTTCGCTATTATGTTTAATGCTAGCCTTAGAAATAACGCCTTTATTCATACATTTATGATTTAGTGGAAAAGTACTGTTTCTCCGACAATTACACTTTTTGTTTATATTAATATTATTATTGATTTTGTCTAAATATTAGTTTAATGTTGTATTATTATGTTGTGCTATGTAATGTTCGAGTTTTTTGCTGCAGCTGTAGCTAATCTTAATGTTCTTGTTGACGATTTTGTTGAGCAATGGTATATGGCCGAAATGTTTGTGGATTAAATTAAGGAAAATTTTTATTTATATTGGTTTTGACATTTTTGTTAAATGGTGAGTTAAACTACATAAAGAACATGGAGAAAAATTGTATTTCATTAAAGTATTATTTGCAATTTGATCACAAAAGGCAAGTTCAAAATTTTTTCACCATTCTTTCTCATTAGTTTAAAGAAAGTGTTAAAGAAATTAATAATGATACAGGGACATGAATAATAATTTGACTTTATATATATATATATATATATATATATGGATGCTATCAATTTGTTCTCTAAAATAAAAAGGAAAAATGAATGCACCTTTATGCAATTCGGCATCTCAAATTTTTACCCGTCGATCACAGGAAACATGTTAATGGCAGCTATAAACCTGGCCAAGAATTATTGCACTATTACTGACTAGGAAATCAACATCATTAAACAAGCCCATAAACCCATCATATACCACGATGGTCCTATGTGGACCAAAAAAGACAACCCAAACTTTTCTATAGTGATGGGAACGTTCGATTCTGCAGAAGCTTGTGAATTGGTTGGCATTTTTCTACTGTGGAGACTTAGGTATACTTTCGGGAGCATAAACACTAATCTATACAGAGACGACGGACACTAACCCACAACAAAGAAATCGACTTAGAAAACATCTTATCAAATTCTTCAACGATCATGGACTAAATATCACTACTAACACCAATGTCAATGCTTTCTGGACACAACTTTCAAGCTATCCAAAGGAATATACATGCCTTATACTAAAGAACTTTATAACGATAAATATATTAGTAAAGAATCCAACTAACTACCAGGAATTTTAAACAACTTACACAAATCGATACAATTCAGACTCTCGGCTAACTGTAGCAACAAAATTATCTTTGACAAATATAAAACTAAATATGTAGATACACTACAAAAAGTAAATACGAAATTAAAGTAGAATACATAAACATTAGCAAAATGCCAACAATAAACATAAGAATAGAAAACCCAACATAATTTGGTTTAACTCACCATTTAACAAAAATGTCAAAACCAATATAAATAAAAATTTTTCTTAATTTAATCCACAAACATTTCGGCCATATACCATTGCTCAACAAAATCGTCAACAAGAACATTAAGATTAGCTACAGCTGCAGCAAAAAACTCGAACATTACATAGCACAACATAATAATACAACATTAAACTAATATTTAGACAAAATCAATAATAATATTAATATAAACAAAAAGTGTAATTGTTGGAGAAACAGTACTTTTCCACTAAATCATAAATGTATGAATAAAGGCGTTATTTCTAAGGCTAGCATTAAACATAATGGCGAAACTAAGATTTATTTTGGTTCCACTAGAAAACCCGGTATTGCCATCATAAAATGACTCTTACCAATAAACAATATTCAAATGCCACGACACTCTCAAAATTTTACTGAAAATTAAAACAAATGACTACACACCGGTAGTAAATTGGAATTTCGACTCCAAAACTACACCCTTTTCCGGTCGCGGCGACTGATGTAACCTGTGCTTCCTGGAAAAAAAAACATTCATTCTCAAAAATATCAGGTCATCCCATAAGTTCTGTCCGAATTTTGAATAAAGAGAACAAATGACCAAATGTTACATTTAATTACAGATTCAATCAACAATGTATTTTCCCTGATTATCTATGACTTCCTTCCATCTATTAACAAGCTTACTGTAAAATTCTTTTGGCTTTGATTCGAAGGACTCACAGATGTCAGTTTTAACCTCTTCCTGTGTTACAAAAGCTGTTTCTTCCAAATGATTCTGTAAGCTACGAAACAAATGGTAGTCTGAAGGAGCAAGATCGGCAGAATAAGGTGGATGAGAAATTTCCTCCCAACCAAGTTCTTCGATCTTTTATCACGTGATTCTTGCTGTGTGGGGTCGCGCATTGTCCTGATGAAACATCACCTCTTTTCGATTCACTAGAGCAGGTCTTTTTTTCCTCAAATCTTGGTTCAAACGCTCTAATTGCTGACAGTATATTTGAGCATTAATTGTTGCATTAGGAGGTAAGAATTCAAAGTGGATTATTCCTTGGCAATCCCACCAGATTAAAAGAAGAACCTTTTGCCCATGAAGTTCCTTTCTCGGCTGTGGATGGGGTCCTTCCCCTTAACCAAGCCACTGTCTACGACGCTTAACATTTCGATAAAAGATCTATTTTTCGTCGCCAGTCACAAGTCTATCCAAGAAACAAGTAGGCGAGAATGGAGAGAAGAGCAGATGTCAACTCGGGATTTGAGGTTGTTTTCAGACAATTCATGAGGCATCCATTTTCCAAGTTTAGAAATTTTTCCAAGTTGTTGAAGATGACGATGAACAGTTGTATGGTTTGAACTGAGAACCACTGCCAATTCCTCAACTGATAAAGCAGGATTTTCTTCAAGGGCTGCTTCAAGAAGCTTTTCATCAAACTCAACTGGACGTCCGGTTCGATCTTCACCTTCAAGGGTGAAATCTCCACCTCTGAGTTTTGCAAACCATCTTCTGCAAGTTCTTTCATTCACACATTCCTCTCCATAAACTGAGTGAATGTTTCTAGCCGTTTTGGCTGCTGAGTTTCCTTTCTTGAACTCATAAACCATTATGTGCCTCAAATGATTCTTGGGTACTTCCATGTTAGCAGGGTTTCAATCAAACACAATTTAATTTTATTGTTCTCTGAAATAAAATTTGATCAGTTTAAATGCATCTAAACATAAAAATAATGTTCAGCGCCATTAGACATAAAATACTCTTTAAATTTCGTTCATTTTAACAAAAAGTTAAAATTCGGACAGAACTTATGGGATGACCTGATAGTAATGACCCCAACCTGCTGAACAAACGTAATGAGCTCATGATAGATTGCACCAATAAAAAAAAAAGCTCTCTCCTAAAGTATTTTAATTCTGGATAAATCTTTTTACCCCACTTCAACTGTCCATTAAATATTTTAAGTTAAATACTTATTATCCCCCGTTAACCATATTTAACCATAATCATATATTTATATACGATAGACTAAAGAACAAATTGGAAACGCTTATGAATTTAACATGTTTCGCTTTTATTTAAGCTGCATCAGAAAAAGTTTCTCCTCCATATTTCATTTTCTGATGAAGCTTAAATAAAAGTGAAATATGTTAAATTCATAAAGCTTTCCTCTTTGTTCTTTTTCCTATCAGTCTCCGGATATATCCTGTTTCCGGTTTTGTTGCCACTTGATCTCTAAAAACTCCCCATCCACTCCTTTACTTCCGTGCTACTCTTCGGTCAAAGTGGATGCTTAGAAGACCAAACTTAACAAAGAATCATATGCTGAATATCAAACAGAAACATTTGAGATCGAGATAAAACTACCTCTTCCCTTTCTACGTAAGGGTCCATAGTATCACAAGATAGCAGAAAAACAATTATTGACGTACTTGGTGAAAGGGGGAAAACTCACGTGCAGTAAACAGATCAGACGACGTTTTTCAGACGTGGCTGACAGCGGTCCCGCGAAAAAAAAAAAAAAAGCCGATGAAGGTGATTTTCAATAAGTTTGATCTAACAACCCCTGCAAATAATTTTACCTAAGGTACGCCAATCCAGAAGAAAAAAAAGAAAGGCAACTGATCATTTAAAAGTGGATAATAAAAAAAACGTAGGAAATAAGCAACGATGTTGCTTTAAAAAAAAAAAAAAAAAAATTTGTTTTTTTTCTTCATATTTTCTGTAAAAATTTGAAAAATAAAGAAAGAAAGAAAACTTTTTACTCCTGCGGAGTAAAGTTTTAGGCGGGGGATGTTATACCTGACGTACCTATTCTATTATTAATAGACTCTCCCACACATAATAAGTAGTAGTAGTAGTAGCAGTCGCCAGTTGGGCTCAGTGGTGTTGAGTGAGTCTGTCGGACATTGAAGTATCAACCATCACAACTAGATTGCTGCGTCATTAACTCTTATTTCAAGTTCCTAACGTTTTGTACGTCGAACCTAATTTAGGACGACTTATTGAAATACAAGCCTCCACTGTGAAAACTACTCTACAACAATTATATAATCAAATTGATGAAAAATTGCTAAAGTGTTTGTATTCATAAATTATTTATTATACTAATGCACCAGTATCGTCAAATATGACGGCAATTGTTTGAAAGTTTTAATATGCAATGAAACAAATTTTTGAAACAATTCAATAAAGCGGTTATATAGAATTTACAACTAGAATTGTTGTAAAACCGTTCAGTTCGTTATTTTTATATTTTTAAACGGTTAATGATATCTAGGATTCATTGATTGTTTTTACATGTTAAAATTTTGTGCTTAATATAACAGTGACTTGAAATGAAAACACTTCTCGAAAGAAAAAGATTAGCAACAGAACGACAAATCTTACCTCAGAACCAACTTGAAGCAAAACAATCACTTAGTAGGTAAAGGTATGTGAGTACCTCACGAAAAAGGTTTGAACAAATAAGATTGTAGTTTTAAAAAAACGTAGTAGTAAGCAAATACATTAATTAAACCGTTCATTTTGCTCGGTAACTAATTTTGTCTAAATGACGATAAATATTTTATTTGTATAGATTATTAAAATACCTATGGAAAGTAACCATTCATAAATTTACTATCTTAAGTTGATTTCCCTCCCTTTCAACTATCGAAAGATATAAGTAAATACAAAACCGTAATTATTATACAGTAGACAGAGAAATCAAATTCGTTTTCTCATATCAACAAGAATCCATTGTTTCCACAACACTTCAAAAGTCGCTTTATTTCGTTTTTCCCCAAGCAAGATCATTTTTGAAGTGTTAGTAAAGTGATAATAAAGATTATTATGTGATTATTTATACACATTGTGCTAAATTATATAGCAGACAGTCACAAAAAGAAAATCATGTTCTGCCCACAATCGTCACAGTTAATAAAAAAATAGAGAATTATTGTACATACCTTGAAAATCTCCTTTGCAGTCACCATTACTGTCTTTAAACATAGGCACATAAATTCTGTAATAAACGGCTCCTTGCCACCATGAAGTTGCTGTTTGAGCTCTACACTTGGGATGAACGAAGACAAATACGATCAATGTAACTATTAAAGCGGTCCACAAGACGAAGATCAGTATGTAGAAAACCTGACGTATTGTACTCCACAAAGTCTCCTTTGAACGCAAGATCACTTCGTTTTTGGACAGACCACGGAATTTTATAGGCTGTTTTACAGTAGTAATTTGGCTCTCTGAATCGCACAGGTTATCACAGAATGCTTCATTGATAATACCACTCGGTTCCTTATCGGTGCCATAATCGCTGTTTTTCATTTTGGAGTCTGAGTCCAATTCTAGATGCGAGACAGACGTCAAAGTGCAAACGCTTTCGGACTGAAATGATAAATCAAACGTCTTCATGATTCAATTATTATTTTTAAGGTTTTCTTTTCTATTTTTCACGTTGTCAAACTTTTTTCTTTTTCTAACACGCTTTTTATCGCTGTATCTTTCTCAAAATGTGTGCGTGTTTGTCTATGTGTTCGTTTCGCTGTGAAGTCACTCTTAAACAAGCAAGGCTCTATTTTAACTTTAAAGCTTATTTTACTCGTTCTCTACTAAGCACCCACTAAAAAATAAGGTTTAAAGTAATAAAAATGCGTTGGAATCAGCCAGTTATGTCCCATGCATGATACACGCTTAGGCGATCATGTATCTTTCAATACATGACTGAGGAGACAGATTTTTTCCCGCAGTAGGTTGCCATTTCTTTCTGCGGTAGACCAGTTGCCATCCAAGGATATAGAATCCGGTCTGACCTGCTATTTACATATAGCTGGGGGAGAAGAAGAGAATTCATACCTTTCCCATGGTTATTAGCCCGTAAGTGAATGTAATTGATTCGAATGGAGTTCGAACTCGGCTCTCCGATTCCTCAAACATACTTTAAAAGCAGAATAGAAACCTTGGTTGATTACGACGCTTTTCATAGCCGAGTGGTTAAAGCACATTTTGAGAGTGTTTCTACTGCAGATTCGAATCCTGCTGTCTTGCTCATTTTCTTTAATAAGATTTCACGTATGTTCAGGCCGGTAGGAGAAATAAACGCGTGTTTTAAAAATAAACGGAGCGTCTACTTAAATATGGGCATCCACTAAAAATAACGTTTAATGTAATAAAAATATGTCGGATTAATGAGAAAAACAACCCATTATTTTAGAAATGGTGGGCTGGAGGTGTAAAAAATTTTCACAAAGGGCGCAGATATTGATCCACAGAAAATGTACTTCCCATATCTAAGTAAATAAACATGTCATTTTATATATTTTTTTTTTTTCCTGGATATTATTAGTTTTCTTTATTGTGATAGATTATGTATCTAAGTACATAAAAGAAAAAATGCCAAATGCAAAACGAAGATTTCTTCAGTATGATGAATGACTGTATACTTGCGTCAGGGTCATTTGTTGTTTTGTTTGTTTTTTTGTTTGTTTGTTTTTTACTAATTATCTTGATTTAAAAGCCAAAATCTAGAATAGATTAATTTCCACAAAATTCTGTTTGAAGGGTCATTATTAACAACTTTATCTGAAATCTCTCTTTTTTTTTTATCTTTTAACGATATAAAAATGTTAAAATTGACCCACTCAGACGTCCCTCGTACAAACGCTACAATTTGAGATCAAGCAAAATCAACCAGAAACGGCTCATAATGACAAACGGAAAAAAATATTCTCTTTTTTTTTCTCTCTTCTTTTATAATATATTTTTTTCTATTCCCATTAATTTGGTGACCTCGTTGCTGGATCTTATGACACTATTTTCTGCTCCACTTACCTATAAATATAAAATCTTCTAGGTTGTAGTTATTGAAATATAATTCCGTAAAAATATATAGTTATAGTTCACTGAAGCATATACATAAGTAAAATAAGAAAAGCATTACTCATTCACCTAACCTTAATATACCTAATCAAACTACAATTTTAGAAGAGCCTCTTTGTATAGATAGATAGAAGTATTTTACGCTCTTTCAAATAAACAATGATAGTGTAGTAATATTTTATTTTATTTTAAAAAGAAATCCAGTCAAAATAATATTTGTCAAAGTCTTTATTCATATTTTTTTTATTTTCACGTTTTCTGGCTCTACAAAATACCTACGTGATATGATTATTGTTTCATTGCAAGTTCATGCAATTCGTTTTGTAGTGCCATATTTATTGTTATTTGCTAATTTAATTTTATGAATGTAATATCTTCACTTTTCGAGTTAGATAAACAGAGAAAAAAAATCAGAGTCTTCGCCCACGAACCTTCTTTACAGCATCTGCCCACTACGAAAAATATCTGATTAAAATAAATTTAAGCAATGTAAACTTAAACCATCCCAGAGTTAAATGATAAATATCAATGTAAAAAAATAAATAAATAAATAAACATAAAAAATATTTTTTTAGGGAAAAGAACTAGAGATATACAGTACCTTTTTCATTTTTTCCGTTGTAACATTTTTTAATATTTTCATTTTCACAGAGTAAACACGTTTGATGCGAATTTTTGATTGCTATCCAAACTTTTACCACGATTAAATCAATAGATATAACTACTTTTGTAGTTTATTTTGTGTCGATCAGCTTCAAGCTGTTGCATGATAATTTGTACCTGTATGTGTCTTAATGTCACCAATATAAAAATGTCACTTGGAATCTTTGTATAACGAAATTATTTAACAACGGTTATTGATGTAGAACTGTAGATACATATATCTGTTTTTATCTAGCTATCGCTAACAATAGAAATATTAATACTACAATTGAGTGAAAATATTAAATATTTGCTTACCGAGGTCATCTTTTTCTGAATTTATTTTGTTCAGATTGTAAAAACACCAGTGTATGTATCACTCCTTCTTTCTTTCTGCTCAACAAGTTATGCGTGTTAACCAGAAGTTGATATTCTCAGGAGGCAGACCTATTTACTGCTAAATCTTTTATGTAAATGATCTGCCCAATGAGTGAGCTACTATGAGAAAAAAAGAAATAATACTTTTCGTTTTAAATAAACGTCTGTTTAAATTAAAAGATACAAGATTAAATCAAGCTACACGCTACAGATAACTTAATATGCATTTTAGTCGGATATATTTGCTTAGACGTTTTCTTAAATTTACTCTTAAAAAATTTTTATTTTTGCACATTTTTATTTTGTCTTACGAAGTTCATCAAGGATAGATGCAGAAGTCTGTAGCTTGATTCGTTCGTTAACTAAATTTTGATCTGAAAATTTTTCGTTAAAAGTAAGTAGTATTTTTTTTTTCTTATACAAGAGATACGTAGGAATAATGTCACTTGTCACTATAATTTCAATTCAACGAAAACAATAACAGATACAGGCAGGCCCAGATAATCCTTTCTGGTTAGGTTAATATAAGCTGCAGCTTAGGGACCCTCAAGTTTTTGTAAAGCAATGATTTTAATTTTTAGATGTTATAACTTCTAAATAGTTTCATAAAATGAAATGATATCAATATGACAAATATTTATTTAATTGACTTGATCGGAAACAAAGCAAGGAAAAGAATCTTTCAATTTGTGTCATTGTGTTTCAAGTAAATAACATTTTTAATTTTAGTTCTGAATGTTTAAATATTACATTTTTTATAAAGCAGTGATTTTAATATTCATATGTACTAATTCGGTTTGCAATAAATAATAAAATAGTTCTTAAATAATATTTTTATTGGCCAGCAAAAATACCTATTCTAGTTTATTTAAAGAATTTGCAAAAAGTTTCCTTCAAGATATGTAAATATATCACGAGTAAAAAAATATTCGAAACGGAGCGAGTTAGAGAGGGTGACTTCGTCTGAGGAGGAGCTCATAATTCCATTAGATTAGGGGCCAAAAAAATCATAATCCGGTCCTGGTTACAGGGAGCATAATAATACCGTTGATTAAAAGCAGTTTCCAGTGACTAAACATTTTTCCACATAGTCACCACTTTTTTCCACTAAAACGCATTATCAACTACCTAACTGTGCTCACGTTCACTGTTTGATCTCTGTAAACAATCAACACGTGTCAAGGAATGTAAATAGATGTATTTTTCCGTGTATAGACTTCAATGACACCAGCACCCGCCTCTGATGTCATAGGCCAACATAATAATGTAGTATTCTCGGTGCGATTTTGGTAGAATGTTCTATCGATACAGACAATGAAGGATGTTATATTGCAAAATAAATATTTGTTGTGCAAAGTAAATGTTTTTCTCATCATTAGGCTACCTACAGACATATCAAATTATATTTGTAGTGATAGCAATATATAATTGACTAAATAACCCCACCCCATTTTACTAGACTATGTAATAGTCTTGAATATAATTAATTAAAAAAAAAATTAAAACTTAAGCAATAAAAATACTTTAAAATGCAGATAAGAATGGAAATTAACAGTAAAAAAATAAAGATTATAAAAAAGTTAAATAAAACATAGAATACTCCCATGATTTATCAGAACAAGTATTTAATAATAAAAGAAAAATTAAAAGTTAAACAATAAAAAAAATAATTTAAAATACATGTAAGAATAGTAATTAACAATAAAGAAAGATAAATTTTTACCTCCAAAAGAAACAAAAATCAAAACTATCTCTTTCTTTGTTTCCGACCGCCGAAGACCGCAGACGTTCTGGACATTTTGACACCAACAGATAAACAAAATTTCTTTATTTCTGCATACATGTATATTCTTTAAAATATGCAATCATTTCTCTGAAATGTATACTAAAGCAATTTATCGTTGTTTTTCTGTTTATTTCGTTGATCTCATAGATGATTTTGTTTGTAACATTGTAAAATCCCGTTGTGGTTCCTGATGCCCTTTTTAATCCTAAAAAATACATACAAAAATAATATTCAGACAAGGCCAACGCATCACCAGAACACCACAACATATACATTATATCAAATAACAGAATTGAATTTTAATGCAACCTAATGGACCCCCGATGTTTGAAGATAGATTGCCACCACCAAGCTATCTTATCTTAGATACACTGTTGCTCCGGCTGCAATACGTGTGGTGCCCTTACAATGCTAATGGGTTACTGGACTTGTGATTAGAATTTTTATCACGTGTGTGTTTTGCTGGAATTTATAGAATGCTCAACAGATTTAATTCAACAAAAATCAAAGCAAAGCAAGGCTCGAAAGCGACTTATGGTCGAGGTATATAGTAAAAAAAATTTATAATGCTGAATGAGGTGAGTGGCACGAATACAAGAGTAGGTGCTAAAAAAAAAAGATTATGAAGATTTGGAAGAAAGATAACAATTGACATTTGACTTCAAGATAAACGCATTGATTTGGAAATTCTTGCAAAAATCAAATAATCGGATTTTAATGATATTTTTGGGATTTATTCACAAATTAATGAAATTATTTTAGAAATGATTCTTTTTTTTTTAGAAAAATATTTTTTGCATCAAAACTTATTTAATTTTACGAAATTTCGAGAAATTACATTTTAGATAGCTTGTTGTTTATATTAAAGCAGAACTCCTTAGAGAATTTAAATCATCAATTTATTTTGTAAAGCAGGACCCCCCATTTACTGAAAATCTGCTCTGAATCGCAAAATAAAAAATACAATATAACTATGACATTATTTAATTAGAAAATATTTTAATTGCTTTTATAAATAATATATATGATGGACACTATTGTGTTAAGAAAAACATTCTTCGATGAATAATGTATTTTTACAAGAATTGTTTTCATTTTTTTTTAATCAGAATAATCTTTTAAAATTCTGTCTTGCTTTGCAGAGATTAGGTCATATAGTTATTAAGTAAAAACTATATTTACTAATCATTAAATGGAAAAGATTAGTACAATTCATCGACTTTCAATAATTTAAAAAGAATTTGATAGTGTGTGTGTGTGTGTGTGCGTGTGTGTGTGTGTGTGTGTGTGTATAAACGTGCAGATTTTTGTAAATACGGGCGTCCGTACACGACACTATCAGAAAATAATAGCGATAACTATAGTAAATTTAAAGCCAAAGTACCTAAATTTCGATAATATATTAAATTACGAAGAATATTTTCCTAATTTTTAAGATTACTGGGTAGTTAAAAATTATACATAAAATGTACTCACGTTATATTCCTCAAGTAAATTTTGCAGATATATCCCCCCGTAGAAAAAAAAAAATAGATAAACTTCCGTCTGTCAGACAAACTGTCAAACCTTTCGACACCTTAAGTAAACAACTATCGCCGTGTTAGATATGCATTTCAGCGATATTTTAAATTAAAAGTGAGTACTATTTCTTTCAAATCAGATTAAACTTTAAATCTGCTAATATTCCTCAAATAAAGTTTCAGAAAAGTATATTTTATTTTTTTATAAAGATTTTTTAATAAAGAGAATTACATTGTGATGAAAAATGTCGGTTAAATGATTGATACTTAGCAATTTCAAAACGAAAATACCTTCCCGGCAATTTAAATTAGTTTTGAAATACAGCGAAGTATTTTGCTTAATGGTAATATTAAATTTAATCTATTAGCTTGAAATTAAAACTAAAATAAAAGATTCAAGAAAGAGTTTTCTTTTTGTTTTAAATTCATTTGAAATCTTAGTTATCGAAAATCTGTGAAGGTACCTATTCTCAAGTCTTTTCATTCTCCTGCAGCCCCTTGCGTCTTAGTAGCATTATCGCCTTGCTTGGGATGAATTGATTTTTAAAAGAATGAAGATAGACTGAAGAGAGAATGAAGATATGACTCCTATTGATACATTATTTATTTCCTATTGGATTCGATCAGTTTAAACCTTTAAAGGCAAAACAACGCTTAAAAAAAGGTTTTTATTTCTTTGCCTTGTTCACTTGTTGTGAATTTCATTTGCACCAGACAAATTCACCATTCTAAATCATTGTTAAAATTTCAACTTTTCTTCTGTTCAGTGGATAATTAAAGCAGAAGAAAAGGGTATCATGATTTCATTCGTAACGTTCAATCTAATACTGTAGTGTAATACTAATTTAGATCTCGATAAGTCTAACAGATTCTTTACATCAAGATAAATAAATTCAAATTCGAGGCATGAATCTCTTAAACTTAGTATACACTTCTTAATATAATTTCATTTTGACAGTGTTATATCTTTGTAACGATATAAAAACAAAATAAATGATTTTAAATACTTCTGGTTTGCTTAGGTATTTTTACTCTGATCCATAAGTAATCACTCTCTGTAGAACGATACGCTTAACAGGGAAGCAGGCATTCAAAAACTGTTGGGCTATGAATTTTACGAATGATTACGAAGGCTATAAATATATCAATTCATCTAAAAACCAAATCTATTGTACCTATTGAGTTAAATGTTATGTTGTATAGCTTTACTATTCAAGGTTTAAGTGAGTGAAGTGCTAAGGCATAAGTTACAGAGAAATCTCGAAGCTTTTAGTTTTTCAAATACAAAAAAAAATAAATGTGAGAAATGACCAGAAATCGAGTATAAGATTTACCGAATAGAGAACTTGACTTCGATCACTACATTATTTTTAATACTGTCCGGTTCACACTCTTCCCCGACTTTTGAACATGAGGTTTATTCCTTGTTTCCTCTTTAGGATTGGGTTTCTGGTTCCTTCTAAGGTTTTTTCATTCTCTTTCACTCCCAGCAGTCCCTTGCATCTTAGTAGCATTATTGCTTTGCTTGCAGTTAATATAGACAAGCGTATGGTTGCAAGAAAGAAATACGAAAACAGCAGAAATAGATTTACGTGGTTTATTTCAACAGGAACGTGATGGTTTGGGACAGCTACCTTGTGGTA